ACCCGTCTCGACGATCATTCGCGTAAACGCAGTCGGTTAAGTTTTAAATGAATGTAAACAGCTGAGAAAGAAATCTGATGTGTATCATTATACTGGATCCGTGCAGTCGGATTTAAAGGGACAGTAGCCTATAAATAGGTGCTGCTGAATATGTCACTAATGTTAATCAAACAACAAAACAGCTATAACAAAGATTAATCTAAATTTAATTCATACAGTGAACACAATGCAGTGTTATTTTACACTCAATTACATTTCTGTACCTGAATACTACTGTTTATCTTATCTATGCTTGTAAATTGTGTATTTGTTCTTTTTTCCCCCTTTTTCTTTCTTTTTTTTTACTGACTGTTCACTTGCCTTTAATCATGTTTGAACTTTCTCAGACTATAGTTTTTGCTGTGGTATATGAAGAAGTACGTAAAGTATATGGAAAGCAAAGTCACAATGATATAAAATTAGTGTCATTCATTTTTTTGTCATTCACATTGATGTTAAAATTACATTTTCTGATTTGTGACATTACTTTTTATGTACTGCTAAAACACTGCTGGTCACTTTCAGAAGTTGTAGTGATTTTCTTTTCCAAGAAATAATGTGAAACAAATTGTTTATATAATTTTCATTTTTAAATATTTTAAAATATAATTTAAATAGATTTTTCACACTTTAAGCAATATCGTATCGAATATCACATTTTTTAAACAAGGTATCGCGTATCGCATTTTTTTTCAATATCGCACAGCCCGGATGTATTATTGATAAGCCGTAATCCAGTAATGGTGATGGGCGTTCCATTTCCGATATGCACTATACTTAGACCAATCACAACAGACTGGGTTATCTGACCAATCAGAGCAGAGTATCCTCATGTGAAGGAGGGGTTTCGAAAGATGAATCTTTGAACGAATCGTTTGAGAGTTGTTGAGAAATAATGTACAATTAAATGCATATTATAAGAAAATGAAAGTGTTTTTTGACCTTGCATGCATGTAAACCTGTTGTTGGGGACTCCCAAAACCAAATTATGAACCTTTCAAATACCATAATAGGGGCACTTCAAACTTCTGATATATGGTTTTCTGAGTGCACAAATCTGAAGCAAATGCACAGAAAGTGTCTATCACACGGCATGTGAGTACTAAACTAAGTTCTCTCTCATTTCCTATTGTGCTTAAACTGTGAAATACATAGAAGGTTATGTCAAAATAAAAACGCAGTTTAAATCGCATGAGTATATTAGATCTGTGTATTAAGTGACAGCAATGCATTATAGAGTACTTACTGCTGTCCATGCTGTTAATATGGCCCAAAGAACAAAATAAAAACAGAAATTGACTCACTGCTCTTGACTGAATAACTGGAGTAGCTTTAATAAGACATGTCTTACTTGAATGCTGCTTTTAAATGCTGTTGCGTGAAGATAAACATGGTGGATTGTGTGCGGCTGACTCGGGGCAGGATCTATGCTCCCAGACTAAAGTGTAAGTCTGAGTGGTTTTAACTGAAAGAAACTTGCACTGACTGATCTTAAAATATATCAGTGCCTTTGTTTTGTCTCAAGATGCACACCAATAATGTTTTGTCTAAGGCATGTTAATAAAAATTACTTAAATTTCCCGATTGAACAATGGCCTAATCCTGGCTTAATCTAAGCCCTGTCTGTGAAACCGGGCCATAGTCACAGAAATCCCTGTTTTCTTTCCATACCATAGTAATTGATGCTGTTAATGAGGCGAACTCCGACCTGGGCATGATTATTGGTCATCAGCACAATGTCAAACAGCTCCTCACTGTCTGGGTATAGTTCTCTCAAACGGGCATTTACATTCATGAGGGCCTGTGGATAAGAAAAACAGAAATTAATAAAGGCATGGCTGTGGGTGTCTAAGGATATCCACATTAGGTAACACTGCTGTGATTAATGGTTGATTAGTGTACTTCTATATGATATATAATCATAAACAGTGGGCAGGACACAATAATGCTCTGTGTTATGTGCTCCGAGTCCTGCCCTGCAATAAAAAGGGCTAAAGTCCATCCATGAACAAAAATTAAGGCACACATTTGTTTTCCACACAGGTTGCTCTACACATTTTCCCAGTGATTTGCATTTGTGCAAATTTTATTTGTCCTGAAGATATATTCATGTGTTATGAAAGCGCAAAAACAGTGTTTCAACCAGCTTATTTGACCTGAGTCAGGTTCATACTATAGTACCAGTGCTGGCTAGTCCACATTTATTTATTTACTTACTTATACTGATTGTGCCAACATTAAGAGCTGTCTGAGCCAGTGCTAATAAACAGTTTCTATACTTAAATTACAAAACTGCTAGATAGTAACTACTTTACTAATGTTGAATGAATTGTTAAAAATAAATCCATTATGTGTAGCATTTTGTGTTGTTAATAAAGTCCTTTAAGGCATTTGTTCCTCTTTACTCATTTGTCAAATTTATTTGTCGAAATTGTACACTTTAGTCATGTCATTTGTAATCAGTGCCAAATGACATTTCAGGAGTAATATACCTATGTGATGTGAACCGTGGTGTGTTGCAAGGTGCTGCTACAGAGTGCATCAGTTGGGCTACATACGTAAAAATCCCATTAATTTTTTCTACTGGAGAATTGATTTAGAATGATAACATATAAACTGTTAGGCAGGCCTCCTGAGAGCTATGAGGTTGTAAATTGACGGCATGTGCACACATTTCAGCTTTTTAACTTTTAAATAATCTTGTTTAACAGCAGTGTTCCTGCATGGTGAAAAGCTACATTACTCACGATTCTGCAAAAAACCTACACAATTCAGAGTATTGAAACAAACAAATCATGCCAAAAGAACTATTTAGAGTCAATACTTTATATATTTATCCATTTTTCATTTGATTGTCCATCACAATTCTTCATGAGATTGAAGCAATAAAACTTTACACATTTTTACTTCAAACCAAAGGCTTCAAATAAAAAACAATGGGAAAAATACTGAAAAGGTGAGTGGCCACTGTTGCACTCTACTACAGTAGCCTACTAATGTACAGTTGCATTACCTATGGCATCAGGTTCCTGACAGGTGCTGATGGATGTAGGGTGAGTGTTATGATCAGACAGTTTTAAAATATAGTAGGATCATTATTATGCATTTTGTTTGAAAAATCATTTTGTAAAGCTTACACCTGTTGTTACCTTAACAAAAGGAAACGAGACCCCTGGGGTAAAGGGCTGGTCCTCGTGCTCCAGCTGGTGCGCGACATACCTCTCCAGCCCCTCCTCTTCAAACACCTTCCTCTCCTTCACCATGTTAAACAGCGTTCGCGAGGACACCGCAATGGTTACAGCGTTGCTGGGTTTGGGCTGCAAGTTAAAAGCAAGCAAATGTTTACAACGGGCTGTAGACGACAACCAAGCTGCTCAATGTGGTCAGATACCTGTATGTGCAGAACTGCTGTCACTGACGCACCATCGATAATGCAAGCGAACAACACGACGCGCTGGCTTTCAGTTTTGACAGCTATCTTTGATATAATATAAGCTTTTTCTAGTTTGTCGCGTCGCTAGCATTACCTATAGATAGGGTATCGGATGCGGGAGACGCTGCTGTCATTCACAGATTATACACACAAACAATCGCTTACCGGACGGGGCTTCTTCGTTGTTTTCGCGTTGTCAACGTTTTGACAGCTACCCAGTCTTTTTCTTCGCTGTTGTCGGAGTTGGACTGTCCTCCTCTCTCTGTGCCTTCAAGTTGGCTCATATTGTTAGGGGGTCAGTCAGGGGGAGGACTGAATTGTTGTGTCCTGCCTGCGTCTGTGCGTCCTTTGTTGCAGTGGTTGAGTTCCTCTTCAACACGACCCAGTGACGTCACCAGCCCTAAGTGTCTGACTTATCGATTTAAAAAGCAAAATCAATTTAATTACATAAATTAATATGAAAATAACAATTTACATCGCTCTCATTTTAAAGTGCTCTAAAAGTGCAGTTTTAAATACACTTCACTACAGCATTTAAACAACATTCGTTTTGTCTTGGGTATGGATGTACTTTTAGTTTCTACTATATGCACGTATTATTGCCCCAATAAAATGGGACAACTTGGTAAAAAAAAAAGTTTCAGTATAATATAACCCCCCCTCTGGTTTATGCATCCCTGCCTCTGCTGAATTATTTTTGTCCCCGGTGGGGATAAAAACATCCCGCGATCTCTGCTCCGAGGTCTAACTCCAATGATTCGCGATTCGCGATACGCGCTTTGAAGTCCCGTTCTGAATCAAATAATTCGCGATACGCGATCCGATTGGAGCGCTTCTAAACGGTGAATCATTTTGTGACTCAAATGGTTTAACTCAGGGCTGTCCAAACTCGGTCCTGGAGGGCCGGTGTCCTGCAGACTGATTCGGAGTTTCAAAAAGCTCTGTTGATACTGTGTTCTTTGCTCGCTTTCTCTATATAATTTATTCGTTGCTTGAATAACCGTGGAAATTAAATCATTGCAATTAATAGGCCTAACTTACAATGTTTTTAATAGATTGTGATCACGTTAAATACAGTTTCCGTCATATTAATACATTTCATGACATGACACCCATGGTACTTGCCTAAAAAGATGGGTTTATAATGTGCATTATTAACAGATTACACTAACATTAGGTTACTTATTATTATCACTTTGTATTAATTAAACACATCCTTGCTGAATAAAAGCATTCATTTCTTGTAATATATATATATATATATATATTAGTGACCCAAAACACCTATGGAGAGAGAAAAAAAGTTTTCAAAAGCAAAGTATTTGTAGTCATTTATTTATTTATTTGAATTCCACATCATTGTCCTTGAGATCATTTACAGTACACATCTGATCTTGATATGTGGCATTGGATAGTTATCAAGAGGGACTGAATAAAAAAGAGAGATGCAGAGAAAATAATAGTGCCTTCATATTCTCTGTTCAATAGTAGTGAGAATCCAGGACAAAGAAAAATACTTTTAGGTAATGCTTTACTGATTAGTTTATCCATTAAAATATATCATCACCAGCTCAACAATACCATAAAATCAGCATTTGCTTTAATTTCATTTGCACTTTAAGCCTTAAGAAACAAGACTGGAAATAATTACCAAATATAGCTTTCCTGACATAAATCATGTTGCAGAAGAAAGTATGTTGTTATCCCTTTACATATAAGATTAGGTTTTATTTTCACTCATTCCTCACATAATGTACATGAGCACCAATAACCCCATTTTGAAGGGCTCCATCAACATGTGGCATCTGGTCATCAAAAAATGTGTAAGGAATGATTGCTTTCAGCACAGGCCCTTTATGGGCACCACTCAGAAAGAATGCCTCATTTATCTCCAGATTGTTCTCCTGAAGAGTCTTTAGGGCTCTGATTCCAGGACTTGTTGTGCTGCGTGGTTACCAAGTAGGTACGGATTGAACTCTTTTGGTTGCTTTCATTGAACAACTTCTGGAGAAGTACCAATGCTTTAAAAAAACTCTTTTAGAGGACCCTGCAAAATAATTTAACTATATATACGTATGTGTGTGTGTATATATATATATATATATATATTTAGAGAGCGAGAGAGAGAGATGATTATTAAATTATTATATTAAAAGCTTATTTTAAGGCATATAACAGTTATCATGTCATATAGCATGTGGGGCATGCTTTTGATTATCACAGACAATTTCAACTTTCAACTCTCAATGTATGTAGAGTAGAAGCACATTTACGGTTGAACTTTAAGTAGAAGCTTCCTTTGAATATCCTTTTAAATAACAAGGCTGTGTGGTGTGTGCCTTGCAAATGTGAAATATAACAAGGGTTAACTAAGCCATTTGAGAATCATCTGTACTAACAAGTGGTTTCAGAACAACAGTCTTACCAGTTCCAAAGATTTGGCCTCTTTATCACGCTCATTTTGAAAGAAAGCCCCTATACTTTCTCTTTGGTGACTCTCTCTGACTCATCTGAAAACTGGACTCCATCACCATCAAAGGCCACACGTAACTCTTCATCACTGTTCTCGTGGTAAACTCTCTGGAACATAGTGGCTGCTCCGTATCCTGAACAAGAATGCCTCATTTAAAAGTTATAGAAGTAACACTTCTGTTGTATTTTATACAGTAACTACATGCACCTAACGGCCACTTTCTCACTGCATCACTGTATTTATTTAATGTTTTTATTAAATTTTCCCCAAAAATCAGCTTAGAAGATCAGCTTAGATAAAAAGTTATGTAATTTAGGCTTATGCTGGTTAAAAGTACTTGCAAAAATGGCTAAGAAAATTGAAGATAGTTTTTAAAATAATTAATTCTTTAATAGTCTGGTAATGTTGCTACTATATATAGCTGTGAGAATATAGTAATATGGAAGCAACCGGTATATAGTTGAAATTGATCTATGACATAAATGGAGAACAAAAAATATTTATCTTCAACAGTAGCCTAACCCTTACCTGCAGTGATAGCATCTTTCACATTCTGTGCATTTGTGGACAGGTAGAGAACAGGTTTGATCTCCTCAAGATGGTTAAAGGAGGTTACCGTTATTTCATCAGTAATCTCAGAGATGTTCATATCTGTACAGAAAACATCACAACACTGCTTAGTAGAATAACATGAGATCTTATTGTATTCATGTTTCAACTGAAATGAGGTGCTTTGGTGGATTGATGGGATTAAAAAAAACACCATGTCATTCCAAACTAGGGGAGAGCGGAGCACAAAGTAACACTTTTTGATTTTCTCAGTTTGTGTAAATCCACATGGGGTTCAGAATATATATATTTTTTTTATCCACAGTAATTTTACACTTGTCTAGTATGTTACAACGTGCCCCATCTGCGCAACTGGAATGTAAAACTGGTTAGTGTCTTCTGCTAGTTATCAAAGCATTAAAAAAACGATCTAAACTAATAAATAACAGATTGGAGATCAAAATAATAGCAGATTTGTCTCATTTTAAAGGAATAATAAAAACTGAGATGAAAAATGTACTTAAGCCAGAATTTTAATTTTACTATGGTAAAATACATGTTCAGCGATATCTTCAAAATATTTTTGAATTTTGGCGCACATTTTTTGTCTATATAATGTTGATATGGTAACTAATAAATACTGTAAATTTTGTTATGCTAGCATGTGTGGAAATATTCAAACCATGTGTGTTACAACTAACCCCGTGTTACTCTGTGCCCCGCGCTCCCCTACACCAGAATATGTCAGTGAGTTGAATTTTTGAATTGTATCATTGAATCTGCTGAATATATGATTTAGGTCACTGAATCAGTGAGTTTAACAATGAGTAAGTTAAACTTGTGAATTGGATCATTGAGGCAAGAAGTTGAACTGAGAAAACCAAATCATTCAGTCAGTATGTCAGTTGACCTGACCTGATCCTTTAGTTCATTGAATCAGTTAGTTTACAAAAGAACCAGATATTTGAATTAGTGAGTTGAACTTAATTGCTGGGTTAGTGAATCAGTAATATGAATAGTTGAATTTTAATATTGAAGCACTGATCTGAACTGTGACAACATGCCCCGTAGGTGGGGTACATTGTAACATCTGAGGGTCACGTTGTAACATGACCATATGACAGCTTGTTATCTGATCAATGAAAAAAATATACAAAACAAACTAAAATATTTTGTTAATAAAATAAAATAAATCTGATTTTGGAGTTTGACAATGAACACATTGCAACCATGCTTGGGACGGCCCACATAAACGAGCAAAAATGCTTTACATGTCTTGAAATAATGAATAATAAAAACTGAGATGAAAAATGTACTTAAGCCAGAATTTTAATTTTACTATGGTAAAATACATGTTCAGCGATATCTTCAAAATATTTTTGAATTTTGGCGCACATTTTTTGTCTATATAATGTTGATATGGTAACTAATAAATACTGTAAATTTTGTTATGCTAGCATGTGTGGAAATATTCAAACCACGTGTGTTACAACTAACCCCGCGTTACTTTGTGCCCCGCGCTCCCCTACATTTTTTTCATATAATGAAAGCAGACAGATAGTCAATATGACTAGTGCACTTTATACAGTAAGTGTTATAAGCAGCCATGTGATCTTAAATCTTAATGTGAAAAACAGGCTTGTGAAGACAGTGTAGTCTTTAGTTTGACATCCCATGGTCAGTGCATGCATTTATTGTATGATGGGAAAGAGCAGTGTTAAAGATATGGTCCAGATTTACTAAACAGGGCAAATGAGCGTGAGAGCACAATTCTAAAAAGGCGCTAAGAGTGGAAATTTCTGCGGTTGATTTACTGACAACGCGCAAATTAAAGAGCACAGACAAGGCCAAATCATTTCCATAATGACCAACACAATCTACCAAGAGCAGCGCAAATTAGCGTCTGCTTTAAGACATGCTTTTTTTTTGGAGCGTTAAATAATGGCTCAAATAGGTAGTAATTTGACGAGCGCAAATGTTAGTAAATCGCGTTGCGTGGTTCATTTTAATACTCTCCTCCCATAAATTTTGTGTCTGAAAGGGAAACTCCTACAAATGCATATTGAATAAGCTCAGGCGCAAAAATAACTGTGTCCACAAGGCGCTAATTCTTCACTGCGCGTCTTTAGTAAATCCTGACAGTAGTTTGTGCTGGCGCAAGCTGTTAGTAAATATTATTAATTGTGTTCTATGCGAGAAAGCAATTTTTTATGTTTTGGAGAACTATTCCTTTATAGTTACTATAACAAAAATTTAAACTAAATTGGCACCCTCTACTCTTACTGTATTTTTCGATGCTCCTGTTTAGGGGACCCGACCCGTGTCCTGACTGTTGGTAGTTATCAACACAATTTTAAACCGCTCTTCAACGGCTGTATATACAATGTTATACAGTATATACAAAAGCAGGTTGTTTCTCTTCTGTTAAATGTTTTAATAATAGTTAGTGGTTCCCAAATGACCACTTTTTCATTTCCAAACTGGGTCTACTTGTAAGATGCATTACTGATTAATACAGACAATATGCTGTTAATCTTAAAGGTAACTACATTTTCACTGTAATTCTGTTACCTTGATAAATGGAAAAGCAACCCCTATAGGGTAGATATAATCTGTCTCTTGTCTGAATAATGCACATGAAGGCACAGTAATGGTGAATGATGTCACTGAAAAACAAAGATGCAGACTGGTTACAAATAATTTATCTTTAGATTAGGCATGGGCCGGTATGAGATTTTGACGGTATAATAACCTTAAGCAAAAATATCACGGTTTCACGGTATTGTTGTTACAGCTCTAAAATGTGTGAATTTTAAATGTCTGGGTAAATAAAAAACTGAACACAATATATTTTGACATACAGAATATTTGGAACAGTAGTATTTGTTTATTTTTTAATTGATTTGTTTCTGAAATGTTGAATTGTGGGCTGTCCTGCTTTTGATGTGGATGGTTGATTTGCTGCTAGAGCTACTGCTGCCCTAAAAAGAAGAAAAATAAAGACTGACATCTTTATTTAATCTGAATCTGTAATTACAGTTATTTAATTTTAGCTATATAATTCATATACATATCATTTCATATAATTTAGTTATATAATTTCATATACATAATTTGATTTAAAGGGGTCATATGATGCGATTTCAATTTTTCCTTTCTTCGACGCGTTTCAGAAAGGGGGGACATAGAGGAGAAACAATAATGTACAGTATGTGGAAAATAATGTGTTTTTTGAACCTTAAACCGCATAAACACATTTCATTACACCAAATACTGTTCTTTTTAGCAGCATCATATGACCCCTTTAATAATAACCCAATTTGTAGCAAAAGCAGAATGTTCTATTCTTACTAGCTTTGTGAAATTATACCTACATGCCTGAACGAAACAAACAGCAGAAGCTCTGAATGAGACGCAGATTCACTCTCTGACAGCAGGAAGCGCTTCTGGAACACCGGATACAGTGTTTCCTTGGTTACCGCTGTAAACAAAGCAGGCTGCACTGAAACACTGCTATACAGAGACGAGATGAAAAGAAAATAGGCTACCATCTAAACATTTCTGAAGACAGTCAGTTCTCCTCAGAAACACATTCATATAAACCCCCAAATCAATATTGAGGATTTTCTTCCAATAGTTCGTGCATCATAAACAGTGAGTGATTTGCCTGCTACAGTATTTTTCTCTGTGCGTCTGTCTTCAGCGTCTCTGGCCTCTGTTAACGGGCGTTTACAGACTTAATATTTTCACATAAATGACATTTGGAAAATGATATGCATTGCAACGCAGTTTGTGCAAGTCCAGAACAGAGATCGGCTGCAATAAAACAATAAACGGCCAGACGCAGATTCACTCTCTGACAGCAGGAAGCGCTTCTGGAACACCGGATACAGTGTTTCCTTGGTTACCGCTGTAAACAAAGCAGGCTGCACTGAAACACTGCTATACAGAGACGAGATGAAAAGAAAATAGGCTACCATCTAAACATTTCTGAAGACAGTCAGTTCTCCTCAGAAACACATTCATATAAACCCCCAAATCAATATTTAGGATTTTCTTCCAATAGTTAATGCATCATGAACAGTGTTATGAACAGTATCAATACTGTATTTTTTCTCTTTGTGTCTGCATTCAGTGTATATTACTTTTTTAAATATTATTTTTGACATTGAAAGTGGTGAATGTCATATTAAGGCATGTTTTAATTTTTTGGGAGTTCTCATTATTGCAGTTGCCTGATGTTGAGATAAATTTGTGATGACTACTATGTTTAAATTGGTTTGTACAGGCATTTACATTGTGCTTAGTGGTACTTCTTCTTGCCCATATGTGTTTATTTAACACAATACTTAATGTTACCATTCTTATATTATCAGGTGATTGCATGCTCCATTGCTGAATTGATACTGTTTGGCAGCCAGTCAGATGCCATTGAGATGATCATTAGTTTTGTCTATCGATGAAAGAAGGTCCTCAGCAGGTTCTTCTGGTTAATTACTAGTATTAAGGATTACAGTCAATAGTGAACAGTGCGTTTTAGAGATCACTTTACCATGCATGATCATTGAAGAAGCTCAAAACAAAGCTATTGATTGTGTCCCATAAAACCAGTCTCACTCTCTGTCCTTGTTTCATTCTCCATATTGTCAAAAAAGGGTCATGATCTAGTTTTATATGCTTTATCCATGCAGTTAAAATGTTTAGTCCTGCTCTCTCTTTCTTCTTTCTTTTCTAACGTGTCCCTTTTTCAACTTTAGCTGTGGTTAGCCTGAAATAAACAAAACATTTTATAGGCTCTTGATGGCCAACCAAAACATGCCCACATTTTTGCAGTCACACTGGTGCTTTGTCTATACCCGTTTCTCTGTATATGTGTGTGCGCATTTGAAGAATTATTATACAATATTATTGAACTTAATGTGCCAGTAAGCCTATATCTGGTTAATATCGTCAGAACAAGTAAAGAGACTATTGCATCTTGGATTTTTTTTGTGTGTGTATGTGAGTCTATTTAAGTGTGTTTCCACACAAAATACATACTCTTTCTTAGAG